TGCCCTGAGCTCAGTCACCAGATGCACCATGTTGACCAGGCCTACTGGAAGGTCTATGAGGGTACAGTGGGCACAGAGAACCCAACGTCTGGTTTTTACATACATATGGCTTTAAGAACTGTTACCAGCAAAGGACGTCAAGCACAAACCGTTGTGGCAACTACCAGGACTGAAACGCTCAGGAGGTGTTAGCGGAGAGAACACCTGGTCACAATGTACAGATATCCATGTGACACAAAGAGCGGACATTTGTTGCAGCAGAAACAACACTAACAGACAACACAAAAAGGGACACCCTGATTTCTAGGGGACGCGACAGGCTGAATACCCCAATTTAACTTGATTTGATCGGACATTGGGCTTTTGTATAATGGCGCAAGCAAATGGGGGAGTTTATTTAATAGACAAGGTGCCAAATTGCTATTTTTCCTATTGTGCGACACATTTTCAGTTAATGAAGTCCAATAACAAAAACACAGAATGAACAGTCTGCATGGAGTCTGATCTACATTGCGTCTCACTTCTTTCCTCCGACTGTAGTGTCTTCCTAAAGACTTACCCTTCTTTCCTCCTGGATCTAGTACAATATATTGCCTGGAGATCACTGTGTACACAGCGATACCGACTAAAACGTATTCCTCGTTATAATGTATAAACTTAGGAAGTAGCTCAAACTGAACATGATTAAAAGATAGATAAACAAGTCACTTTCACTGAGAACAGCTTGTCACAATCAGATTGAGAGATCTAGACCGATAAACTTTAATACAAGCTCTTTATCAAAATGAGACCCCAAATGCCCAGATATGGCGGAATGTCTCCTGGATATTAGAGGGTTAATTCCGGCTTCCTCAATATCTTGAGTTGTGGCCAGCAACATGCCAAGAACAGGAACGTTAACCGATCGCTTCCCTTTCACCATGGAGTGGCTCCATCACTTGATGGACCAGCTAGATGCCACTCCATTGCCATCAAATTAGATTCTACAGTAATTCACACCAGCATGGGGGAGACTCTATTAGGGGATAGAACTACCAAAATTAGGCAATTCTGCTGCTGGTGATGTGTCTCCGGCAACACAATTGCCATCTGACATGATCCTTAGGTCATTAAGCCTGGAAAAAGAGTCATCCCTAATGGTGAGAATTGACCATTCTCCTGCTAGTCTCAGCATGCCCTTCTTAACATTGGCAGTGAGGGTAGCCGATAATAAGGCGATCTTTGGGAACCCCATTGTACCGGAAATACATATTGGCTCTACAAATGGAAAAATTCTGACTGGAGGACAACTCGACCATGTGTGAAGAGCGATGCCGCCTACTTGTTCCATACTCTCAATAAGTGCGAGTTGCAAGAGGAATACTACTGCTCATATTGATGTGTCCTCCAACCAAACTGCATAAAACAGACCTGAAGAGAATGTAAAAGGTTCCAATGATGGTGGTTAATGCTTGCGTATTATATTGGCCTGCTTGCCCAGCACTGTTTTTGTGTATAATGTTTCCTGTCATGGACAATTACCAGGTGTGCTAATTTCATGTTCTTGGTCTTATCCTTACATCACTAAGAAGGCCTCCCATTGGGTAAAGCAGATTTAACAACTTGTGTGATGAATGCGTCCCGGGGTCCGAGTTATCTACAGTAACCAGATTATCCCTTTCTCTGTCCTGCACACAAAAACATGATTAATGGTTGCAAAGGGCAACAGGTTTTCTTACACACACTTGAGTACATATGGACCATAAAAGCCAGATGATAGTACAGACATGACCTCCGAAAATCAGCATTATCGAGTGTCTGTTAAACAGTCTATAATAGAAAAGTAATCAATAGAAGATCTGCTGCCAATTTCAAGTATAATCACACTCAAAACAGACATCCATTCCCTGAAAACTACAATGTATGACTCTTCTATGGGCCCCTAGTTGACCACTATTATTAATCCACAAATATTAAACTATCTACTCCAATGTCTCCAATAAAGTTTACAATGTCAGTGCATCCAAAGTTGAGATCTCACAGGTGCGATGCCCACCAATCTTCTTCCATCTCTCATGGACACTAGAGGAGAGGCCACTGCATCAGGGATCCCAACTCCACCCACCTGTTATGGCTACTCGGAGTGGTTCTGTAGTCCTCAAATTCATTAAGTTTACATTATGGTGAATGCAGCATTGGATATGGACACAAAAGGGCTCCTGGGAGAGGGTTACTTTCTTCTCAAGTAAGGTCTCATATCCATGCATCCTTGTGAATGCCTCTTTCTTATTCCATTGTGTACGTACCGCCGCATACGTCCTCTATCCAGCTCCTGTCTGTTGTCACTTTCTTATTTCACTGATGCCAAGTGACCTGTATACATGAGCATCTGAAGACCCTGACCTGGTGGATCAATGTATTCTACTAGACTGTAAGCTCTCAAAAGCAGGGCCCTCCTAACCCTCATGTGTTAAATTGTATTGTGCCATCTCCATTCATTTTGTATATTTATATTTTGTATTTGATATAAATCCTGAATTAGAATAATAATAATACTAATAATTATTTGGGGATGTGTTTATCTGCATTCATAATAGGGTTTATGTTAAAGGAATGCCACATCTTTCATGGTTGGCAGTTATTACTACTAGTACTGCTGTGATAAATACTATCACCATGATCATAACACATTTTGAAATTGTTGATTGTATACATTTTGCCCGAGGTTCACAGCTCGTGTTATATGAAGTAGGAGTTAACTCTATGGGACAGGCTGATATTAAAGGTTAGCATTACAGTTTAGGTTAAGGGGCAAGGGTTTAGGACTTTGGGTTTGGTTACGGTTAAAGGAGAACTATGGGGTAAGTGTTTTTCCCCATAGTTCTTCTCAGGGTCACGGGAGGACATATACTAGCTGCGTGAGTGACAGCTGGCTCTGCCTATCTAGAGGCAGAGCCAGCTGTACCCGCCCCCTCCCCAGTCCGTTCCGCCAGTCAGCGCTGGAGAATCGGAGCGGGAAATCCCTGAAGGGAGCCGTGACAGTAACGGCTCTCTGCAGGGAGATGATCGAGAAGTGAGCGAGTGACGGTATGTGTTCACTCACTTCCCGATCCATTGAGCCGACGTGCGACAGTTTAATTGTCACACGTCGGCTCAAACTATGAGGTTGAGTGAAAATCACTCCCCTCATTGTTCTCCTTTAAGAGCCTATAAGCGACTAGCACTTTTTTGAGATAAATTGTTGGATATGTTATGAAACCTGCACTGAAACTCCTGTCCTGAATAGTGCCGAGCTCATGCTCAAAACCGATATGGTAATGTACCATGACTGGTGTCTGTGTTCTCAGTAGCAACCCCACCACCCTGTATTCTTAATGCCCTGGCTCTTTCACCATTTCGCTGATGCAGGACCTAATGGCCTGGTGACAGCACCTAATCTCATGTATCCAGGGGCACCATGGTGCTTCAAAGGTTGGCATGGTCATCTTATAACGCTATGTACCCGGATCCAATTCCCATGTCTCCTGTATACTGGTAGACGAACTGACCCAGTTTGAATTTTCTTCTCTGCAGTGTCCAGATAAGGGAGATAAGAGGATTAAATGCAACTCACTCAGAAATCAACATCTTCCTCAGAAACATCAAGACACTACGGCGTAATATTTTCCGCAGGAAAAGAAAGGAACTCCTTAGTAGTACATCTAGGGGAGAGCCTCCATGGTAAGAAGAGAAAAGACCAGAATCTCTAGTTCACTGGTTCTCAACCTGTGTAACCTCAGGACCCACATTTGTCCTTGGTTATTAAGTCGCAACTCAAGTCGCATTGCGGTACCGTGCGTTCCAATGCGGAAGATCGAACTGAGGGTGGGAGGTACGTTTGGGGTGCCATTTAAATGAATGTCAATGCAATGCACCACCCGCACCAGAATGCGTGGTAGGTGCGATTGCATAGTACAGTGCGTTAATTGCACGGGACTGTCCAGGCACCTCTACAGGGCAGGCGAGGGAGCTGTAAGCAATGCACATATGGATAGAGCTCCCTTGCTCACCAGCCCACCCCACCTTAAGCTTACACTCGGTGCTGGGCAGCATATTTTGAATGGCTGCTCGGCAGGAGAACTGACAGTGCTGTACTAGGGGGAGGCTGAGGAGCCACTCTCCTAGTACAGTGGAAGGCACACGGGTACCCACTTAACATGGGTTTCCGACCCACCAGTTGAGAACCACGGCTCTAGTTGATCTAGCCGCTGGTATCCTTGAGAAATATTTGATGGGCCGGTGTTCATTCATCCCACAAGGGTCCACCTAGAACAGATATCTCCGCTTTGGATACACTGACACATTAAACCTCAAGCATCTTTGCTAATCACATGACTCACAACTTTAAGGGTTAAATCCTTGCTCACAAGATCATTATATATTTTTTTTTCTTTTACTTTTATTTCATTCACAGTACTGCTCTATATACAGTATTTTCTCTGCTTTAGCTATGTCATGATTTCATTTGCTGGATTATAATCTTCACAATATTCTGGACGCAGGCTGAGAAAGATAAACTAGAGAAACAGTAACAAACAAGAAAATGCCCTTCGACTGCAACCAAAACAGGTGGACCTAGGCAGAAGGAGAGTTCTACTGCAAACATATAAACCCATACAAAAAATAAATACTCTCACCCTTTGTATTTACAGTGTGCACCTCCCATCCCCCCCCAAACACACCCAGGTTAATAAATATCCTACAAAACAAAAATCTACAGTTTCTTCATTAATTTAGCGTATATGTTGATGGAAAACCACAAACTTTTGTTATGTACAAAAAAAAGAAAGCAAAACCAAAAACTTCTATAAATATAATATTTTAAAACGGGAGGTTGTGCCAGAAGGCGGCTATATACAGACAGCGAGAAGGGCATGCCTCGGGCGCAGATCAAGTAAAAATCTGTATAAAAGATTATACATAGAAACATTTTGTGGTTGTCCATCAGCAAAATAAATAAAGAAAGGGTTCGGACTTTTTAAGAGTGTGCGTTTTTGTTTTCTGTTGCCTGGGCCTGTGGAATTGTGTAGTTCCCGTGTCAGGCGAGGGCTGTGACAAAACTTGTATGGTCCCGTGTTGGTAGCAGAGCTGTTGGGTCTCGTGGAATGTCATGTAATACAGTGTCCTTCACGTGATTCCAGCTGGGAGACATAAGACCAGTGATGGCTTCTGTCATGTTCAGTGTGTAGCTGAGACTGTGTCATACCGTGCTATGATGTTCAAGGCAATCCGTCATCTTCCAAGCTCAATGCCACTCGCTGCAAAGACAAGAATGAGAATATGAAGTGAGGATGATGGGGACAGAGGCACCCGAAGGCATCGAACAAAAGAGACTTCCCAGCCATAATTCAGCTCCCAGGAAGGGAGTCTTCCATCCGTCAGTAGCACAGCTGGTGTCTCTCCCTGCTCTCCTATACAACTGACAACCGTGACTGTCGCACATGATATGGCTGCTAATCTCTGCTTATTAATTATTTTCAATGTATAAGAATGTCATATACTGGATATGGTTCCATCAGTACTATGGCTAGTACCAATATCTTTTACCACCCTGTAAACTGGCGTACAAGGGCTACAACAATGACATTAATGTTGACCTGGCATCAGATATATTTCCGAATACTAAATGTATCTAGAACCAAAAGCATATACGGTACACTGAGTGGCCAGTTTATTATGACCACCTGACGTTTGTAGGCAAATTAGCTATAATTTTGTGCTGAAGTTGCTAGAGGGCCAGACCATTATAAATAGGGAAGCAGGTTGTTTACCACGACAGTAGAAGTGATTTTTTTCTGAAGATACGGGTAAACAACACGATTTAACAGCCTTTGAGCGTGGGATGATTGTTGGCGCTCGGAGCCATGGAGCGAGTATCAGCAAAACAGCAGAATTTGTTAAATGTTCAAGAGCAGCTGTTGTTAAAGTGTTTAAGGACTGGACTGTCAGCCGAAAATCTGGGTCTGATCGTGGGAATTGTGGCCGTCAGCGACTAGGCAATGTTAGGGCAGAACGGAGAGTGGCAAGACTGGTACAAGACAACAGAAGGGCAACAGTGTAGTGTCAGATTCCTCGCATCACCTTTCAACATCTCGTGGAGTCACGAGGCGGCCCAACAAAGTACTAATGGGGTGGTCATAATAATCTGGCCACACAGTGTATAACATATCACAGCTTACCAGTCATGAGATAGTCGTGGTAGCTGCATTGGACTAGAGATGGACCACAATCTCAATACAAATTAGTAAACTAAACATGAGATTGTAGTCCAGCACAGGAGCGAGCTTGGAGCGGTGACTACTTTACAACACACACAGGGACCATGGGGGACAAAAGGAGATGATTTAGGAATCTACAGCTGACTGATGCAAAAATAAAGTTCAGTTTTGTTAATAGTAAGGGCACTTGGATGTATTTGCAAGATTTAACTTGAGTTTAGTGTCACTTTTAACTGGCTTCTGCCCAAACTGACACTAATGTGTGAGACTGTGTCTGTGGTAGGTACATCAGACATTTGGGGTAGCAGAAATTGACAGGAAATGATTTCAACTTTGCATAATGATGGTGCTATATAAATTAAATAAAAACATACAGGTGAAACTCGAATAATTTGAATATCGTGCAAAAGTAATTGCAGTAAGTGCTGCAAAAGGGGCCCAAACCAAGTACTGAGTACATATGCATGCTTGTACTTTTCAGAGGTCCGATATTGTTCTATGTACAATCCGTGTTTTATTGATTGCATGTAATAATCTAATTTTTTGAGGTTGTGGATTTGGGGTTCTTGGGGTTTTCATGAGCTGTAAGCCATAATCATCACAATGATGACAAATCACGGCTTGAATTATCTTGCTTTGCATGTAATGAGTCTATCTCATATATTAGTTTCACCTTTTAAGTTGCATTAGTGAAATAAATTAACTTTGCACGATATTCTAATTATTCGAGTTTCACTTGTAAATCATGTGTTTGTGGTAAGAATGGCTTGGTTTTTATGACTCATCTGATTGCTGCAAACAGTACCATATATAGATTACTGTTGGCACAAAGCATTGAATGTTTACATTTCATCGCACCTACACCGGAAAGCTATTTTATGCAAACTAATCATTGCAATGGAAAAAAGAATCTATAGTGTTAGTCTAAGTTTTAATGCTACACAGAAAATGCTGTGGCTGTACCTAAAACCACTCATTATACTCTAATCTCAGTTCTTGTAGTCCCCTGCAGCAAAAATCCAACAAACATTTGACATGTTAAGTGGGAGCGCAATCCATAAAGTCTGTGCTGTGTAGCTTCCGTTTTTCCAAAAAATAATAACGCTAAGTATAACTAGTGAAAAGGGTTAGTAAACCTTTCACATAAAATGAAAAGATACGCTAGTCCACAACATGCCCCCACATCCCAACCGCCAACCACACCTTCCCACCCTACTCTCCCCCTTTGGTCAGATGACATACTCCTGCCACCCACTTCAAAGCTTCACTATACAGTCCCCGAGACTATATATAGCGTTATAATGCTGGCAGTGTCGAGCAGTCACTGGTCAACACATCCATGTGACCAGGTTGATCAAAAGGGACATCTCCCTTTTTTTGGAAGGCTCGGAAGAGATTCTCATTGGTCAGTGTGATGACTTGGCCTCGCTGACCAATGACCACTTGCTATTGCCAGCATCATGATGCTACACAGCCTCCAGCCAAGTTTAAAAAGTGTGCGGCCCATTACATGTGAACAGTAGAAATATGTCATGTACAGGTGAAACTCGAATAATTAGAATATCGTGCAAAGTTCATTTATTTCACTAATGCAACTTAAAGGGTGAAACCAATATATGAGATAGACTCATTACATGCAAAGCAAGATAATTCAAGCCGTGATTTGTCATAATTGTGATAATTATGGCTTACAGCTCATGAAAACCCCAAATCCACAACCTCAAAAAAGTAGATTATTACATGCAATCAATAAAACAAGGATTGTACATAGAACAATATCAGACCTCTGAAAAGTACAAGCATGCATATGTACTCAGTACTTGGTTTGGGCCCCTTTTGCAGAACTTACTGCAATTACTTTTGCACGATATTCTAATTATTCGAGTTTCACCTGTAAGTATGTTGGGAGTTAGTTCACCTTTTCACTTTCAATGAAAAGATGAACTTACCATAAGGGTTCATTACAAGTTGGAGGAGTAAATATACAAATTGGCCAAGTGCGTGGACCACGAGTATCGCACCCCGCAAACTAATACTGAAAGAACACAATCTCAGTATCCAGAAATGATCTGAAGAGTGGGGCTTTGAACCAATATTCATGAAACAGTACAGACCGCAAAATTCATAAAAAATGATATTGTTTATACTTGCCTTCGGTTTGTAACTTATACTTTCAGTGAACCCTTCTCCTGACGAAGCTACAAGTGTGAAACGCGTTGAGGATCAGGACCCACTTAAAAAAAATACCTGAATTCCTGAAATGCGGAAGATGTTTACAACATGGACAATTATCATTTTACATAAATGGGGTTCTCATCTTTCTCTGCATCTCAGTTTTTACACGTACTCTGTGTATTGCACTTATATGTGTTAACTATAAAATAATAGAAATGTAATATTTTTTTGAATTTCGCTCTCTGTACTATTCCATGAATATCGGCTCAAAGCCCCACTCTCCATATATTTCTGGATACGGAGTTCCAGATTGATGTCCATATATTATAAGTTCACCAGCATAAGCATGCATGTTGTGTTTATTTTTTGGAATTCAACACAAGTGAAGCCAGATCTGTGCCAGTGATACCTCTTAAACTGAAGCAGCACTGGTTATGCCTCTCAAAACTAAAAGCCATCACAGTTTTCTTGTCCTCCATGTTTCGGGTTCCATGTTTGTAGCCACTGAATACTCACAGCTGGGTAGACATGGCCGATCTGCATTGTCCGGCCAATGTGAATCTCCTCTTCCTCCTCCTCTTCCTCTTCAGTAGTTTTCCGATAGACGGGATTGTCAAAGTTCATACTCTTTGTGTTCTTTCGTTTCCAGTTCCTCCAGATGAGATAACCGGACAGGCAGAGCAAAACCAGGACAGCTATGGAGAGACATTGGTAGCAGAGTGAAAGGTGGGAAGTGCATTGCTAGGAAACTGCATCAGAAAAGGGCAAAGAAAAGCTCCAGAAAATTCAGTGGTGGGTCTGTTATGTACCCGTAGACGTCACACTATGAATTCCCTATGAGTATTTAAGAGACAGACTAGCAACACACTACAGCTTTGTTAATGTAGCCCAATGAAAATGTAAAAGAACCCCACATAACTCGCACAAGACAGCCCAACCCTGAATAAAGTCTTCTGAGCATGGCATCTTTATTTTACATATCAATTGAAAAATAATTACAATATTATATAGTATTTAAACTAGTCCACCCAGGGATCCTAAAAACAGATCCCGGTATATCTTAAAGAAGAACTCTAGGGGGAGTTCTCTTTATTTTATCTATTTTTAAAATTTACAGTTACGCTAAATGCCAATTGTACAAGTTATCGCTTCCGGCTCTCCAGGAGGAGAGAAACGAGTCCGCTACAAAACAGCTGCACTGCCCACCCCTCCTCTTCCCAATCACAGAAAGCTCTGTAGAAAGCATCCTGTGATTGGGCAAAAGGAAATGAGGGGTGGGACATCTGCTGTGTAGCAGATCCGAAGCATAGCGATAGATCTGCTACTTGAATAGAATCCCAAACATATTAAAACCAGTTTCTTTAGTGCCTGGCACATGCTCATTACAATGTGGATGCTAGTTCTGGTGACACTGCTGAGCAACCATGGATTTCCCTCACTACTACTGGTATACTACAGGAATATCTTGGTCAGCAATGGCGAACCTATGCATGCGTGCCCCTCTGCTGGCAAGCGCACCTAGGCAGGGGTGTTAAATTCTTATCGCCTGCCTCCCAGGAACACAGTTTCAGAGGGCGGGCGGGCAGTTCTGGAGGCCGGGCCGCAGTACAAGTGATCTCGGCGATGGCACTGAGATCACTTGTAATAAGCTTGTTGGTCCGCACGGCTGCCTCTCTCCCTGCCATTGTTTTCGGGGTCCCCCGCTCTTCTAGGGGACCCGGGACCATGGCAAAGTAGTTCAGGATGGAGAGCGGAGAGCAGAGCAAAGAAGGTACATTCTCCGCTCTGCTCCATGTGAACAGTAATGCTGTACTCACAGCCTTCCCATCTGAGCTATCACAGGAGAGCCAGCACAGTGCTGTGCTAAAACTCCTGTATTGGAGGTGACAGGTTCAATAAAGAGAACATGTCACCTCCAAATGCTATCACACAGGGGCTTGTTAGCTCCTGTGTGATAGCAATAACTTTAAGTAGAAAAAAAAAAAGAGTAAATAAATCATAAAATAATAAATAATAAAATGAATTAAAAAAAATAAGTAAAAAATAATGAAATAAAAAAATTAAAAAAAATGATGAAGTAAAAAAAAAAATAAAATCAATAAAAATAAAGTAAAAGATAATAGGATAAATAAAAAAATAAAGTGATAAAAAGTAAAAAATTATAAAGAAAAAATTAAAATGTTTAAACGTGTTTTTCCCTAATGCAGTGATGCTGAATGTTTTTTAAACTCCAGTGCACAAACTAAAACACAAATACCAAACTTATCTTCAGTGTTGGCACTTTGCCAAAACTGCAACGCAAAATAAATGTATTTATCTCACTCTGGCTCAAAAACGTTAGCAATCACTGCTCTAGGTGGATAACGGAGGAGTTGGTAGAATGAGCTCAATGTGTGCATCTAAAAGGTTTAATTAGGGATGTTCTGATACCAGTTCAGATACCAGTGCCGATATTTGGCATTTTCATGAGAACTACCAGGGTTACAGCGGTTGCAGCTGGGACCTGGCTCTGGCGCTCCACCACTGTACTAAAATCATTAGTCTGTATTGTTTTATAAAAACTGTCACAAGACAATTGATAGAAATTTATCAGTGCTTGTATCTGTGAGTACTTGGGCAAGTATCAGTTCTTGAACTTGGAAAAATGGTATCGGTGCATCACTTATATGTTTATAAAAAGAAAATCATACATTAAAACAGAGATGTAGAAATCCCAGGAGCTCCGTGTGCTCCTTACAAAATGACCGCTGCCTCCTAACTTTTGAATTTTTCTCTAGTCTAGTCTTGGATCTGGAAAATAATCTGTACTTAACAATCTGTAATAATCTGTATTTGAACATCCCCAATTTAATTGTTTAGTGAGCATATATTTTTTTAAACTACATTCCATGTATAGTTTGTAATTCCGTACACTGGGCAGCTATTCTTCCAATACATACAGGTTGTGCTCAGTCAGTAAATTCCTCACTATGCTCAGTCTGGTTAAAGACATTATCACAATGTGGCCAATTTTTGACTCAGCGGCTGTTCTGCTGTTTGATGCGGTCTATGCCATCTAATATATGACTTGCCACTGGATGGAGAGTCCATAAATCTGCCAATGCCTTCATGAATGTAAAGTGTTCAAAATTGACATAAATGGTTTTCGTGTAAAAATACCCACAAAGAGATGTCATAAGATGCACAACTCGGTAGGAAAAAAACATTATTCATAATTTTCATCGTTTTGTGATTAACTTTTAGAGATGATAATGTCTGCGTACATTTCCCTACATATTCAAGCATTGTACACAGGGATAACTCACCAAGAGGCACAGCTACACCAATCACTGCTGCGGTCAGTGTGGACCTGAGGTCAGAATCTACATTTCCATCTACAAGATAAAAAAGAATTCCATCCAGTGTTTTATCACAAGAATATCTGAGACAATACCGCAATGCTCAATGAAAAACTAAACAACCTGGTCACATAATGGCAAAACAATCTTGACTCCAAGGACTGACCGTTACCAAAGGAGTTTCATCAATCTTTATTTGCAAGCTCTTTGACCATGTGGAAGCAACCCCCAATTCTTTCTCCTTTTTATTTTACACCCTAGATCAAATTGAGCACTTAACCCTTGCAGTGTGCGGGTAGCCCCACTGCCAGGAATACGTTTTTTTTTTATTTATAAAAAAACAGGAATACGTTTTTAACTGCCTACAGGATACAGAACCATATAGGGCAACGTGGCAGTGCCTGCTGATAACCCTCTCCCCCATGCAAGGTGTAGTCACCCATCTGTGCTTCCTCGCAGACTTTTGCATCTGAGAGTCAGCGAAGAACCGCAGATTGGCGAGTATACCTTACAGGGGAGTGGGTTATCAGCAGTCACTACCACTTTGCCCTAAATGGTTCTATATCCTTTTAATGCTGGCCCACAAAAAGGTGAAAAAGAGAGGAAAATAGGGGGGAGGGTAGGGTACCCATGGGCAATGCCTAGGTTCACCTTAGGCTCTAGCTGTACGTATCTATACACTAGGGGGTCGCTTTATTAACAATCAACAGTGCCATTTGTCCTGCTAATATCAGTGAACGTTTGCTCTGTATGAATATGTGCACAAACATTAGTTGGAAATTAATTACACTTGTACAGAAGAAAAAAAAACTAAAGAACGCTTGTTTGTGCACACATTCACACAGAACATTCACAGATATTCACATGGTGAACGGCCCTTTTAATTGTAAATCAACGAGTGTACATACACACACTGCACCCTCCAGTACCACTGACAATGCACATACTCAACACTTTCAAGCAAGAACACAGATGTAATGAATTTGTAAATATTGCTAGCGCAGGAAATATTGTGGTTATTATATAATTTATATATATCTCCATCCGGAGAAATATATGCGCAAAGCAACTAAAACTAAAGTGCCTGCAAAATGTATCTGAAAGGCATACATCTGCAGAACTTTCCAAAACCCATGAGCAACGGTACTTTCCATTAAAGGAAAAAACATATCAGGAAGAAAGACCATGTTTGTGGTCAGCTTCATTTCCTGGGGAGACGTACCGCTGATTCTGATTTGATTCTGCCAACATTAAAACACAAATCCCTTTGAAATCCTAAAAATACCACTAGGCCCATTTTTAAAGTGAACCTGTCTTGTTCACAAAGTATAAATGAACTTATTATTAAATTTGACTTCACTTACCTTTCATTTTTAAACTGAAGGCACCACTACCTGTACTTGGTGCCTTCCATAAAATGTGAACTTGTTACTAGACTAGGGTCACTTCTAAAAGTAGGCCAGCCCTGTGAATGAGCCCATTTAGAATTATCTTCCCGGCTGCCCGTGTCTTGAAATGCCACGACTCTACTGCTTGCCGGCCGCTGCAGGTTTTCCTTATTCATGGGTGTGTGAATACCTGCTCCCCTGCAGCATGTATCGATTCCTCCTGCCGCCTCATACGTCACTACAGGGCATGTAAGCCGCCAAGAGTAACCATTCCATGCGGTGGTGAAGGTATGCGGACTCACGTGGAAAGTGGTGACCAGGGATTAGTGAAATGGCAGCATTTCCAGAAATGAGCCACCGGAAGGGTAAATATAGATGGACTTCTTTTACAGGGCTGGCCTACTTCTATAGGTGACAGGATCACTTTAAGGATTAATAAAACAACGAATATGCCATTTTAAAATCTTTAATGTTGTATCTTGTCCAGATAATGGTAACAGTCGCTCTGTTAAATCACTGCTTGACAATAACCACTAAAACTAAACAGGATGAGACTTGTGCGGCACTTACAGTGTTGGTAGACGCTGCTGTTATCAGTAGTTGGCACCTTAATATCCTTGTGGCCAGAAGCAGAGGTAGTTTGGAGGTTTTCAGTAGTGCTGGGATGATGATTCTGTGTTATCTCAGTGGTAGTCGATGTGGTCGTAGTGGATGGTCTTGTTTTAGTAGTTGTGGCTGGTGTAGTGGGCACATCAGTGGCAGGGGAGTCGGTGGTAATTGCTGGTACAGTTGTTGCTACAGTTGTAGTAGTTGCTGTAATGGAATGAACATTAAAACAAACAACTTGGTTGTATATGCCACTTGCACCTTCTTCATCACCCATGCTTGGTCCGTTAATACCCTCCCAGTTTTTTTTTTCTTCCACTTCTCACAATGATTCCTCCAGACCCTTCACACATGGTGAAGTAGTCAGGCCCTCTGTCAGATTTTTACGTCTCCATTTTTCTCACTTCCTGTCACTATAAACAATGCAGTGCTGTGAGCTGCACTTCCTGGTTCCCTTCTCAAGTCCATTCTCTATATATTCCTTTGGACACTGATGGCCGTGTCACTGGCACCCTAGTGGAAGCTCCATAGAGAGATATGGAGCATGTACTTTAGAGAAAGGAAACCGGAAGCTGAACTCAGGTGTCTCCAGGACAGGGAATGAAGAGAACCTCCACTATGGGGACACACACAATACAAAGCGGAAAGGGGACCTATCCCTTCTCCTATTCTATCCAAAACTAAAAAGAAAACATTTTTACTGACGTTTCTCAAATATTGCAAAGCAATAATAATCTGAACCCACAGAAACCACCATTTTCATTTGGGAGGCTATAGGAGAACTGATCAGAGATTGCCCAATACAGCTTACTGTTGCTAATTTTGGTTTACACTAGTAGATTGTTTCCATTCAGCTTCGGGATGAAGCACATCCTCCGCTTGTTAAAATACCTGAACAGTGCCGGCATCTGACTGGATACAGGCGATGTTCTGCCAACAATTTTTTCCTTGGCTCCTTCCATTTTTCAATCAACGGATGCTGGGCAGGAGCCAGCACACAAAGCCACTCATTGAGCGAATTTTGGCCAGTTCATCAAGAACCAGTCGGAAGTGTATAGCCAGCATTAGTCTTTGCAGAACACCTTATGATGAAAAGATTGCTGCAGCTTTAATACAAACCCCAGTTTTAGTCCTCGCCATGGAACAAATACAAGAAAATTGTAAAGTTTACAGGGGTCGGCGTGACCTGCTCAGTGTTGGTGCGGTCATTCTTCCCCCGCACTCCCAGCTTGTTCTGAAATTGAAAGGAGCTAAAGACAGCCCTCATTTTTTATGGCCGGCCGCAGAGCATGTGTAACAGATCACATCTTAAAGCAAACTGGGAGTGAAGGTCAGGCTCTGTAATATTGCCATTTCTTCAAATGTTTGGCATGTGGTCCCAATTAGAAATTTTTCTAGATGGGGTTTAATTTGGGAAGTTGTGTTTAGGGTGCATCTATCCTTTAAATAAGATAGTGGTATCTCTCAACCCCAAACTGTTCAGAGATTACACTCTCTTTAATTACCCATTTATCCCCTTTATCCCTTTTATATTTAAGCCTTGTACTTTACCTTTCCCACAGCTCCTCATGTCTGGTCCCAACTCCACCCCATCAGCACAGGCGCAGGTGTATTTGGGGGAGTGGACAGATATCTGTGGTGCTGCCAAGCACAGGTATTCACATCCACCATTTGGAAGAGGTCCCTGGTTACAGGCATTTATTGCTAGGAAAAAAAAAAAACACACAGTTATATTTAGAAAAATGTCATAGAGCAATTATAGAAAAGAGGAAACTTACACAATCATGCCCCGACTAGTCAAAGCAAAAAGAAAAAAACTAACATTTCTACAGGAAAATAGTTCACTATATTATGAAGAAATACAGCCAAAATGTGATCTTTCAGGCTTTAAGCAGCAATGTCATTTGGCTTTGTGATGATATGAACCACATGACTGTCAGTGAAAGTAAAACACATCAGGATACTGAGATGACTTAATCTTAAACTAACCATAGACACAAGTGGCAGCCAGGAGATCTGATTGGTAGAGAAGAATGTCACCAGCACACCGAAAATCCCTTTAGGATCAACAATTGTTCATTTTATTGAACAGGTTGTCACTTGAAACACGAGCGCTTTCAGGACCTCGCAGGGACCCGAAAACATTGTCAATGTTGAGCCTGATGAAGGGACCCTGCGAGATCCTGAAAGCACTTTTGTTTCAAGTCGCAAACTGCTCATAAAAATGAACAATTGATGATCCTAAAAGGATTTTCGGTGTGCTGGTGACATTCTTCTCTACTAAATTTATGCGATAGCGGTGACATTCGCAGTCATTTCAGCACCCATCCCTATCATTGAGTGCGTCAAGTTCTACTCTACAACAGGAGATCTGATTGCCACATGAAGGCTTTGGCTAAGCATTCCTCTTTCTGCACTTGACAACCCAAGCGTTAGCCTTATTTTGGGCATACAATTAAAATCATCCAGGAAAATTAAGTATGGACAATCAATCTCAAGCCAAAGGGATCAAGAGGTGTCTGCAGGGGTTTCTAGAAGTGTACAATAATTTCCAGAACAAGGCTTTAAACTATCCCTTTGATAGCCCCAGTCTTCATTTCCTCAAAGTATACAAGTTACCAAAATGACCTTGCTGTGGTTCAATGAGTCAAATATCGATGTCTTTATGTGGATCAAGGAGGGGCTTGTGGTGGTGTTTTGGCTGTTTTGGTTGTCTTTTTTACCTTTGGGCTGTTTGAGCTGATGAACAATGACGATATCGTGCGGATTGTTCAGATTTTCTGCCAAGATAGAAATTTCTTTTCCAGTAAGTCTGTTTGCACTAAAGATTGCTTCATTCTCCAGATCTGTCCAGAAAACCTTGTCCTAGGGAGAAGAAAAGGTAAGATTTAGAGGTTCAATGCAAGAAAACAGGACAAGTAAATTAAATTAATCTAGTAATAACAAAGCACATGGGGTAGGTTTAACAACTGGCGGCAGCTGTAGACAAAAGTCTTGCGATGGTTGTAAGGTGTGTGCCCAGCCTTACTGAGGTGAACTATGGCACAGGGCTTTGATTATTACAGATTCTGTGGTTAATACCTCACCACTGGCAGCACAGCAGACACAGTGTATCTGCATGATCTGATAGTCATTAGACTTGAGGTTTGTTCAGGGCAGACACGAATGTTTATCACTTATGCTTTTTCTAAATCATTGCAGGGATTAGTGGAACACTATCAATAAAACATAATTGTAGTCATAGAATACTAATAATATTTCTGGGCAAAGTTATGCATACTCTGGTGGAAATGAATGCTAAAGGACAGTGCTCGAGACAGTTTTGTTCCCCTATAGTAGGCAAACACCGGCCCTCCAGCTGTGGTGGAACTACAAGTCTCATAAGGCATTTCAAGACTCTGACAACCACAATTATGACTTCCAAAGGCAGATGCATAATGGGATTTGTAGTATCACTATGGCTGGAGGGCCAGAGTTTGTCTACCTTTGTTATAGGGGAACAAAACTGACTCATGCTCTGCTCGTCACCATTCATTTCCACCAGAGCATGCATAACTTTGTCCATTGACATTATTGATATGCCTTATGATTACATTTGTTTATTTTATTCATTTGCCTATCCTTGCCCTCTAGGCAAATTGCCATTTCACAGAATTGTTATTATCTGAAGATTTCACAACATGAGTATTCAAGACAAAGATATGCTGATGATCAATATGGAATGTTTTGGGTATATACTTTTATGTACCGATGGACCAACATTGTACTTTTTACCAAAACCCAGCAACCCCGACCCATAACTGAAATTTTCATTTTTAGTTGACTGACCATTTAATCGTGTTCCCTATCCCTTATAATGCCACCCTGCATGTAACAACCCTGGTACAAGGCATGACCCCATGAGGCATAGACATGTCTAGCTATCTCACCAAGGAGATCAATGTTTCATAGAACTTTATTTCAGGCTTGTATATTAGGATCCATTGTCAACTTTTTACTGCTGTGTAGGAGATTGACGTTAATAGGGTTTTAGATTCCAGGTTGGGTTTTTACTGCAATCTGGGGCTCCCATAGGGATATTTTCCATACCACTGTATCAGTATGTATGAGCGATTACTGTACCAGTGACAACAGTTTCACTAGAAGAGGGAAGGAAACTCTGTATTAGTGACACAGACGGCAATAAAAAGTTGACAAAAGTTCTGACTTCCCTTCCTTATATTTAAATCATTTTTATTTGCGTGTTGCTGTTGTAGATTTTCTCTCCCTCCCTCCCTTCCTGTCTGGTGAACCATTGTCACATTGATAAGTAAGGGGAAATCTGTCTAATGGGGACTTAGATCGCAGTAAAAACCTGGCAAGTGTTCCAATGTAAAACAAGAAGCAATTTATACTCTACGAGCATCCTGCACCTCCAACTCACCTCAAACACGGCAAGGCCAAAAGGGTGACTCAGTTTGTCTTCAGAGAAAATCAGCATTTTCCTGTTGGCCCCACTGAAGTCCACACTGGATAGAGTATGAAGCTTTGAGTCCACCCAGTATAAGCGATGGGTCAGTACATCTGGGGTGAAAAGATAGTTGACAGATATGAGAACATTGCTGCGTACTTACATCACATGGGCAAAAGTCTGTGGAGAACTGACCATCACACACATAGGACATACTATTCTAAATCCATGGGCATTAATATGGAGTGCCCCCCTCCCTACATTACACCTATAATAGCCTCCACCCTTCTGGGAAAACTTTCATAAGATTTTGGAGTGTCTCTGTTGGAATTTAGGCCCATTCATCTCAAAGGTGTTCAGTATAGTTGAGGTCCGGATACTGTGCAAGCCACTCAAGTTCCTTTAAACCAAATGTGTCAAACCATGTCCTTATTGCGCTGGCTTTGTGAACTTTGTTCCCACTCTTGCCTGGATCCAGTGACTTCATTCCTCCTCTCCAGACCGGATGGAATTAATATTTGTAATTTCTATTGGCTTATGTTAGTATGAAGATATGACCAGAGGCAGAGGCGTAACCAGAAACCTCAGGGACCCGGTGCAAGAAACCATGAAGGGCCCACCTCCCATTAAAAAATATCGGTGCCTTGGCAGTTACCGAGGTAGTGCATGTGTGTAGTCCCAGGAGGAAGGGACTACACACATTTCAACTGGTGGCCGCCTGACAGCCAGGGGAGAGAGGGAGGCGTTTTATTTCACTGGTAGATCTCATTGAGCTCGTCATTTGAAAAGTAGATCCTAACACAAAACATTGGGGGACACCCCCCGGAATTATATACAATCACTGTGTCTCATTCATCAATAAAGCTCTTGTCTATTCCACTCACCTAATGTTATTCCATTGGGCCATTCAATATCATCAGACACCAAAATCTGCCGATCACCCCCATTTAATCCAGCCTTTTCTATTTTAGAGGGTTCCCCCCAGTCTGACCAGAACATAAACCTAAAATCAAAAGGACGAAGAAGCATAATTAAATAAGAAATATCAGTGTCAACAATCACACAATAACCTAAAGTGCATGTCAGAGCAACAATAAAACAAACTATACAATACAGACACTTCCCGTTGTTTTATCCCTGCAAGTACATACAAATAACCTGCCAGAAGTACGCTCCACTCCTAATCTCCTGCAGTGGGCTGCTTTTTCTGGAATGAAAAAGCAAGGAATAGTGTCAGCCCGGCTCAGATGTCTTTTTTAAACTACAGAACCCCTCCTCTTCTCTACAACATTGGAGATGTGTTCTGTAGGCAAACATGAGAAGCGGGGGACAGGAAGGGACGGGACTGAATAGACATATTCAGATTACACTGGCAGAATCAATAGGACAGTTCTGAATTTCTGGCAGGATCAACAGGTATTTTTGCACATAGTAAACATATATAAGACTACACATTCAATGGTATATTTAACAGACCATAAATCAAATAAGTTCATTTCTAGGGTTAATATACAAATTAAAGAGGTCATGCTGTGCAAATAAAATCTTAACCCTTGCAGCGGGGGTTCCTCCACACTGCAAGAGTTAAATGCTCGTTTTCTCTAGGGAGAAAAAAAGATCAGTTGTACTCACCCGAAACGCGATCCCTGCTGGCTCTGGGGCGCCAAGGGCCAACCTGCTCCAGCAATAGTATATCCCCCAGTATCATCACATCCTATACATTGTATAGAATGTGATAACTACTACAGGCTACTTGACTATCTAAATAGGGTCCTTAATAGTCCTTTGAACGTAATAAAAATGTACAAATACTGAAAAGCAAATAATGGAAAATCCCCACTGCTGGTAAAATGTTCATATTAACCCGGTGTGATAGTGAACTGGTAAAAAGAAGTTAAAAGGACCATTTTATAGTTCCCTGATCTATTATCACAGTGGGCGAGAGGGTCTCTCAAAATGAAAGCCTCAGGTCACCCACTTTCATTTCTGCAGGGGGTTATGGTGCGACAATCCCCACTCTCTGCAATGTAGTGATATCTCCGGGCAAAAGTGTTAACCCTTGCAGTGGGGCTACCCCCGCACTGCAAGGGTTAAGTGCTCGTTTTTGGCTGGGTGCTAAAACCCCCCCAAAAAACAATTATGCTCACCCAAACAAAGGAGCTGGATGCCTGCTTCTCAGGTCACTAAAGCCTGTCTGCACACTGTATAGAATGTGATAATTTACAGGACCTTAGACCGCTGCAGAGGAGGGGGAGAGAGGCTCCAAGGACCGCTCTAAGAGCAAGCCGGGTCAGGTGAGTATAACATTTTTTAAAGAAAAGTTTAAGGATTAAGAAAAATTCTGCTACAAAAAAAAAAAGTTGTGGCTGGAGTTAGGCTTAAAGAAACACCCTATACATGGGTAGTACAGTGGCTTAGTGGTTAGCACTTCTGCCTTCCGGCACTGGGGTCCTCAGTCCAATATCTGGCGAGGGTGCTATCTGAGTGGGGTTTGCATGTCCTCCCTGTGCTTGTGTGGATTTCCTCTAGGTGCTCTGGTTTCTTCCCACATTCCAAAAGACATGCTGGTGGGTTTTTGGCTCTGGTCTAAAGAAGCCCTAGTATGTCTGTGCATGTATGTCAGATAGGGATCTTGGACTGTAAGCCCCTGGAGGGCAGGGATAGATGTAAATGAAATGGTATGTAAATGCTGCTTGATGATGTTATATAAATGCCATAATAAAACAAAAACATACTAAAAATGTGTGCAATATGTTAAAGTTGTATTGTGATGTAATATGTGCAACCAAATGACCACAGAGCCCATTTAAATGACCAGATTTATAAATGCAATTCTGACCACTGAAAGGACCACTAGACCCAAGACTATAAAACCCTATAAGATGCATTATGTAAAACTACTAATAAAACATAGAAAAAGATGCCCGCACTGGAAACAGACATATTTGTCTTTAGTGTAACTGCATCATTATTTTTCCGGTACTCGCCGATACCGAATACCGATATCGGAAGTCCCATTACAGAAGCCGGACACAGTGTAATGACTTACCAGGCGGCGAGTCATTACCCACCCCCCAGCTTCCTGATTGGCCAGAAGCTGGCTCCATGCTTCCTCATCACCCAGTGATGAGGGAGCATGGAACCGGCTTCCCGGCCAATCAGGAAGCCGGGCATCGTGTAATGACTTGCCGCCCGGCTTCCTAATATCAGAGGTTAGCGTGTAATGACTCACCGCTTGGCTTCCTGATACTGGAAGTTCCGGTGTAGGGATAAGCATCGGGAGCATTTGTCCGAGTACGAGTACTCACCCAATTACTCGGTATCGACACAGATACTGATACTAGTATCGGTGCATCCAGGGGCGTAACTGGAAATCACAGGGCCCCATAGCAAAATTTTGTATAGGGCCCTGTGACTTCTAGTTATGCCCCTTGAAGAGCCCACTTGAGAGCCCACACAGCTCACCTGAGGGTGACCCTGCAGAGCCCACCATAGAGTCTCTCTCCACCGCCGCTGCTGACTCTCATTGACTCAGCAGCGGCAATGGAGAAGAACGCAGCGCTGCACAGATCACGGTGATCTGAACAGCGGTGCGTTTGAACCCATAGCGACCCAGGCGGCCCGC